AAGTAGAACACATTTCGAGATGAGCTGAGGAATAGTTGATGATAGTCCAGGACCTTGTTTCTGAATTATATATCAGAGATACCAACGATATTAGCGAACGTACTACGCCAACATTAGGTGTCCATTTTCGACTGGTTGCGTGGTGGCATTTTAACTCCCTCCTATTTGTTGAAATCTTCTATTGAACTGGTATAAGGAACATCATTGTGTGCGGGTTTAAACATCGTCATTGAAGCTTAGAAGCTGATTGGTGCCCCGATAAGCAACTTGGTCGATGCCGACTTTAGTATTAGGCTTTCATCTCTTTGCTCTTCAATTTAGTTGCTGTCAATCCCACAGCTTGAAGTCAGATTAAGCGATTAAAATGTGCAGGTGTTCTCTGTCCTTGAGGGGTTCTTATTTATTTTCTAGCATAAGTTGAGGGCTATCTACTGGAGGTTGTTATTACCAACCGTAGCACACAAACCCGTTGTGGTGGCTTTAGCCCCAATTCATGGGGCCAATAATCGGAAAGTGGTAAATATAACGTCCTGGGCAATTTGTACCTATGGCAGTGCAAGAAACGTCCCAGGGGGGATCGGTGAAGGTAAGTCAGATTAAGCGATTAAAATGTGCAGGTGTTCTCTGTCCTTGAGGGGTTCTTATTTATTTGGTGAAGGTCGTACAGTTGCTGCTCGACTGGAAAACAGACATCGAAGCCTGTTGTAAGGTATGTCAATTTGGGATGTACATACTCTATTATTATGTTTAGGTTGTAAGGCGGCAATATATGTTATTCTGAAATGTATCTACTCTATTAGTATTACATTAGTATGTTTAGGTTGTATGGTGGTAATGCATGTTATACTGAGATGTACGTACTCTATTAGTATTATATTAATGCTTTATTAATACTTTTAGGTTGTAAAATAGCAAAATATATTATTCTGGTATATAAATATCAACGAGTATAATTGGTATTTAGTAGTATATGTGCTCAATGTGATAAGTATACAGAACTACATGCACTGTGGGAGCTAAATTGCACTATACTGTGAGTAACATTGTCACGGAATGGCGAGTCAGATGCTTTGGCATGTGATTTTACCCTGTCAGTTGTGTATTTTTCCAATTAAACCACCGTAACATTATCTTTAGAAAGTAATTACTATCGACGACTACATATTATAATCTTAAACGGCATCCCTCATCCGCATTTGTTCCCTCTATGTAACCGCTGCTCACTATATTTTGAGAATACATAAGTTCGTGTCGTTCTCCGGCAAACTATTGGTCATGCGCAGCGATATCCCATCTTACTGCGGTAAACCGCTACAGATGATTTCGAGCATGTGTACACAAGCATCTTTGCGGGTTTACTGCATCTAGCTGGATGTACATTTGTGCGCCTTTGTTCGTGATTTATACCAGACGGAAGTGTTGTTGACAGGAATATAATGGCTTATAATGGTTGTGACGCCGTACATTCAGGGGCACTGTACTCCCTTCCACTACGCTAGCTTCTACGGACATGAACCCGTTGTCAGACTACTGCTTGACAATGGCGCTGATATGAAGGCGAGAAATGATGTGAGTAAAATACTTGGTCGTATATGGTGGCGCTGTCTTATGTAGTGTTTGGTGCACAAATTGTTGTCCGGTTTTCTTGTGCGCCACACTTATGGGTTCTTTGTTGGAGGTATCCGTGAGCAGAGGATAACTTGGTTGGTTCCTGGACAGACATTGAGCTTCATAAATTGCTGGTCTCAACGTGATATATTCTTCAGAGCTCTCATCGCCTGTGTGATGACTTGAGTATTTTTTTGGGACTGTGCCGATTGCCACTGCGAATGTCGAACATTTCAAGCTTCATATCATATTTCTGCTGTGGCATGTTATCTCTTTCCCTGTCGGTCGTGTAGTTTTCCAATCAAACCTCCTTAACAATATTTAAAAAAAATATTACCATTGACATGCTTGAATAATCTTCACTGGCGTCTCTAATACGAATATGCTCACAAGTCTCGAACTTCTACCTTTCACCGGGAAACTACTATAGATGATATCGAGCATGTGTATAGTATCTTTGCCCTTTGTCCGCGTCTGGCTGGATGTACATTTGTAAGCCCTTGCTCAGGATTTGTACCGGACGAACTTTTGTAGACAGGAATATTCTGGCTTACGTGGTTCTAATCACGTACATTCAGCGAGGCCGTATTCCACTCCACAACGCTTGCATATCCGGGCACGAACCCGTTGTCAGACTACTGCTCGACAATGGCACTGATATAGAGGCGAGAGATGATGTGAGTAAACTACGTTGTCGTATATTGTGGCGCTGTGTTGTAGAGTGTTTGGTGCACAAATTGTTAAAACCACACTTAATGGTTAAGTTGTTGAAAGTATACGTACACAGAAGCGAGCATGATTGTTCCCTGAATACACACTGAGCTTCATAAATTGTTGGACTAAACAGAAATGGTCTTAACAGCACTCCTGTACGATGGTTTGTGTGTTTTGCTGGGGATGTGTTGATCGCCTCTGGGAATGTCGAACACTACTTAGCTTCATATCATATTCAGTTCATTTTGACACTCGTCCGTACATGTGTGTTTCCTATTAATTTTTGAACGATATGTGGCTACAATAAGCCCGTTAGTCCAGAACTAGACTAAAAGGCGATCTGTTGTTATGTTATAATCTCAATATCTTCACAACATTATCGCCAGGTACTGGGTCTGGTATACGTTTCGACTCTGTTTGATTGCTGATTGATACTTGATGCAAAAGTGAGCTTGCCACTTGCCCGTTTGTATTATATATATGACGTATGCAAATCTTTGCAGCATCACAGGTACGTTTACGCTGAGGTTAACTTGCATGACTATGCCAAAATGTGCCATGGGACAGGTATATATATATATATATATATATGTCCTAAATAGTTTCATTCGAGATGAGTGACGCCGATACGTTTATTTGGGTTTGTATCTTCGGCTTCCAGAATGGAGACGCTCCACTTCACGTTAACTGTTACAAAAACTACGCAAACGCTGGGATCTTGAAACTACTGCTTGGTAACGGTGCCAATATTGAGGCACAAAACTTGGTAAGCCGCAAAACCCGCAGCGAGAGTGGTTGTTATCGAACTTTATCTATCATGCTATGTGGTGATTAGACGTAGAGTATGCTAAAGGCGCGGCCGACAAACACGTCCGTGTTGCATACATGTGCTTTGCGGGGTCATATATTTGTAATTTGTGTGTGAAGTCGTCAATCTGCTGATGCCGGTCTTCAGTTTGGCTGGTGTATAGTTTTTATATCTACGTGTAAATATAGATAGCAACACGTTGCCGAATAAAGGGTTATAGACGCGAAAGTTAAATATGCGTCAGAAAATTCAGTCGCTCTGTGGGCTATGCATTCACTATAGATACAACTGACACTGCAGTGGATGACGCGCAAGTACTTAAAGGTGATCGATCGCTGTCTCAAGATTTACGAGTCACTGTACGCGGGTGGTAGTCTTAGATCACGTGGGTGTGGCGAATTTGCACTGGTTCTAATTGACCGCAAACATCTATTACTCACAGTGTGATGCCGATATATATATGTGTACATGACAAGACGACACACAATACTCCTACGTGTGCAACTATCATGAGTACTGGCAGCTATTTTGATCGTTTAATTGCAACTGTGAAAAAAACTCATGCTTGTATGAACTATATGGTTCCAAATCATTCGCAAGCCTTGTACTGATATAGTCACCGCTACGGTCGCATAAACTGACGATTTTTGTGCAGCTCATAATGCTCATGCTTTGCTTTGGGATGTATTCGACTCAGTAATTGAGTTCTCGTGATACTAGCGATGAAAGATGTGTATATTGCTGAAATGATTGGTATTCAACAAAAAGTAGAACTAATGACCTGAACCTAAACAGGTGGAAATATTTAACATGTGGCTTATTGATGGACTATTAGTATGTGTAGTGGTACTTTGATTCTCCGCTTTGGTATGTTAGATTTCGGCAAAAGCGAAATAAAATATTTACAGTCTTGGCTGTGGTTCATACTTACGACAATGTGCCGTTTCAGTTTAACGGCTGCTATATAGAGTCTTATCGTCTCGAAAACGACACGTCAGTAGGGTACGATTGTGTATTCGCACCCAAGAGCAAGACGAGAGCTGGATAGTATAAAAAAACGTCAAAAAGATTCTCTGTAGAAAGCCTATCATAGGTCTGTTTCTAACGAGGATAGGGTGATGTTCTTGGTCCGAGTGATGTTGGATATTCGTGACATGGTTTTGCATCGCACTCTGTAGCAAAAGAAGACACCACTTCACATTGCCTGCTGCAAAGGATTAGGATACGCTGTGCAAATGCTGGTTGAAAGTGGGGTTGGCACACAGGCAAAAACAGCGGTGAGTGGTCTAGTTTGGCCCTTCGTAGGTGATCTCGTTCTAAATTTTACGATGAATCGGTTTTTTCCCTTTTATTGTTTCTATGCTTCTGCCCAGGGTTGGAGGACATTCTTTAATAGCGACAAAACATTTGTCGCCTATTCTATGCCTTGTTCTTGAAATACGAAAACGTCATTACGCATGTATATCCATTTGTTTGGGTACTTTATAATGTACAACAAACAAGGCTTCGCTCCTACAAAACGTATAGCCTGATGAGACTGGATGTTATTTTTAGTTGTCTGCAATATTGTAGTATGGTGCGAGTTACCCTGGGAAACACTATAGTAGTGCGAAAGCGGACAAAATCCAGTTCTCCCAGGTGATCTGAAGGGTTATGAAGGTTTATAACATATTGGACAATGAGTCGTTATGGTTTTCTTATAGCTTAGAAGCTTTCGTGTAGAACCGAGATATAGTATAAAACTTTTTGGGGTTTTGCCATAGCTGATCTGAGCTATAGGCTTCCAGCTTAGCGTTTTTGGGCAAGACTTGACATTTTTGTCTGGCATCCGTTTTCGATGTGAGTGTAGAATGGGAAGACTCCAATGCAAATGTGCCCCAGCGATGAAGTCAAGACGCGTCTACGGAGAGCAATAGAAGAAAGAAGGGTATGAGATATTCAAGTGTTTTCATATTTCTCAGTATAGTTTGGCCTGAGAATAGTAAGCATCGTGGCCGTTGTTGTTGTCAAGCAGATGGTCAAGATTGTGCTTCAGTGAAAAAGAAAGAAGTACATGTGTTCGTCTAGCGTACAATCTCTACAGGCTATGCACTCAATATACTCGCGCGTACATTCGCATATTTTTAAAGCAGTACCTGGTGACTGTTTCGAGGTTTGCAGACTGCATTCGAGTCGCGCGGATGGACAGCATCGCACTGACAACGCCGGAGTTCAAGCTAGCCATTCCAGCAAGCGACCCAACCGGTAACAAGGAATTCCTTGCCTACATCGTTGATGCAGATGCGTGCTATAAGCACATTTTGCAAGTACGACAAATACGGGAACCAGTCATTAAATTGGTGATGGAGTGCTGCGCCGTATTGCGCGATGTACAGATAGGTGCAGAGGCTGGGGGTGAGCGAGATTATCTCAAAAGGGCCGAGGCAGCGCTAGCGACTTTTGACACTTTGCAATCACAAATTCGTAGTGGGAAGGAAATAGTGCCTGACGTTATCTCTGAGCGCAATTGTATGCGACAGCGTTGTCTTGCTCTGATTGAGAATACACTACAAAATCGCTCAAACGATCCTCGACCAGAGATCGGTGTGCGTGCAGCTGAGGCACTCAGCAAACTACGCACACGGCCACCTGTACCGAATTCGGAGTCATCGTATGTAAACGACGACGAAGATTTTCACAGGCTATGCAAGGACGCATGCATCGCAGCGGAGACCTTTGCCGCTGGCCTTGGCCATAACACCTCTCAAAAAAAGACGTGTGACATGGTCGCAGACAATGCGCGTGAAACGATTCCGAGAATGCTGTTGCGAGGGCATGAGTCTGAGTCTGCCGACAAGATAACTAAATGGAGGTGTCTTGAGCAGTGCTTTGCTGGTCTCGCGGAAGAATTGGCATTTCAAAGGGATAGCGCAGAAAATGTGACCAAGGCTTCCTTACTATTCGGAATTTGTGTCAGACTAGAGACGGCTTTGGATGCTCTGGTGAGGTATTGCGACCAAACCATACCAATTCCTTGTTGAACGACGCACCTTGTTGTGTGCTGGGTTGAAGGTTCCGGATGTAATGGAGATGGAAAAACTGCGAGCAGAATGTACAAACAATACGCGTGTGCGAAAGCGATGGGATGCGCAAATTGTGCTGGCAGGAAACGAGATCGAGGAAGCAAGACTGCGCGAAGAGTTTGGTGTGTGGGAATCAAACACTCGGAGGCGAGATAAAGCTGTTGGTCAAGAAGTGGCTGCCTGGTTGCAGTTTGCAGATACACACTATCCCGAACTTCTGCAAAATGCCAACGTGCGAACAACCTTCACTGGAAAATACGAGCTGGAATGTGCGGCACAGGGGATGTTGCGTAGAGACGACAGTGCCGTTAACTATCAACTGGTGAGGTTGCTTTCAGACAAGAAGGGTCGGCCCGTGAGACTCGTCACCGACTTTGAGGGCAAGCACGTGGTACTGAAGTCCTACAGCCTCACCACCAGCTCACACTTCTCGCACTTCATGAGGACGTGTAGTAAACTGGGTGCACTACGGGGAGTGATCAATATTGTGCCGGTCATTGGAGTGTTCACTGAGGATCAGTGGGGACACGTGCTCATGTACTACTACAGTGGCGGTGATCTTGCGGCATGGATAAATGGTCACCCAAAGAGAGATCCAAAGTTGTGTCTACGGATAGCGCACCAAGTTGTAGCTGCAGTCGAGAGCTTGCACACTCGGGATATTGTGCACTGCGACTTGAAGCCCGAGAACATATTCTTGACGTCGAAGTTAGAGGTGAGCAATACGAAGCTCAAAGCCAGCTAGCAGCTAGTTCTTGTTCCTTTTTGGAGCCACATCTCGTTTGCACGGTAGAGAAGTCCGCATATACTTTATGTAGGCTGATATGGTCTCCAGGGTCAATTATTATATATTTAGAAGTTTTCAATTATTCACGCTTTTATTGTATCATATACATCCGATCTGTTCACCACAACGCATTCATCTTCACGAGATGCTTATCCAAGGATGCTGTAGCTAATATTGGCTGGTACCCCTAATTTCGCTATTCACATCAACGCAGTGGTCAGAACAGCAGCTGTATTTACTATGCTCTGGATTTCTATGTACAGGCTGTGCTGGGTGACTTTGACGATGTGCGAGACGCAGACTGTACTGTAACGACTGCAAGAGTGACGCGCAAATACGAAGCACCCGAGATACGTAGCGGATTGGTGAGCAGGTTTGACAAGAGTGCAGACGTATATTCACTCGGCCTGGTGCTGAAAGGACTATTCAGTGGTGTGAGCGTGTCTGATACTTGTACGGCAGCGACTGGCACGGCAATCGCCACACTCGTTGCCCAAATGACGAAAGAGAAACCAGCTGAGCGTCCAACACTGCCTGAAGTGACAGCTATGCCAATGTTTAATGAGTGCTCGGCTGTGTGGGATTTGCTGTGAAGCATATATTGCAGCGGAGAGTCTGGTGTTTCGCAATGGGCACGTGACATGCAACGGCTGTGTGAACGACTGGTTGCGATTTGACCTGACTTACTCGAGCTTCATCGCTCGGAATGCTGGACTACTTCCATGTTCAATGCAGATGAATGGTTGTGAGAAAGTGTGGGAACCGAAAGTATACGCCGCCCATGTTGAACAGAGTGTATTTGACGAAGCCATGTGCCTGGTAAATAAGCCAAAGGCACGCGAAGAGCTATTGATCGAACAAGAGCGTGAAGCTGCACAGGATTGAGGGTTTCACCACATAGCCGACCAGATACTGACACTGAGATGTCCAGAAATGGGCCATGTACTTGACGAGTCTTTCACAAATTGTTTTTCGTTGACCTGTGATACGTGTCCGCGTGGTAGTAACGAGTTCTGTGCTTTCTGTTGGAAAGGCTTCGGGCGGGAAACGCATGCGCACGTGCTGAAATGTCATCAGAATCCGAACCCGGGAAGGGTTTACAACGCTTTAGATGTGTTTTACAAAATTAAGCGTGAGGAGCGGTCGCAACAACTGTAGAAGTACTGGGGTACGATCAAACTGGATGAAATGGCCAAGCAAAAGCTTACAGAACGGGTACATCCACTTCTGAACCAGCTGAAGCCAGAGGGTACATACAAATCCTTGGCAGATCTCGTGGGATGATTCATCCCTGCTGACAAAATTTTGGGTTGAGATATACGTTCCCAACCTACCTTACGCTAAAAAGTACCAATGATTTGTATTCGCCACGTTGCAACAAAGAACGTGGACCAATTGGTATTCAAAGTATGAGTTTGTATATATAACTATATATCAATAAAGATCTCGAATTGTCCACCGAAAGATGGTAGGACAGTCGTTCATTGGACAGAGACGTAAAACGAAAAACAAATATGGCATAAATATAGTTTAGCCCAGAATGAGTATCTAGACATTTCAAGGAGTCTACGAGGGTGCTATGAGCTCTTGCCGTGTCGGTACACTACACAAAGGGATGAAGAAACATTCACGATTGCCATAGCTTCTAGAACTATACTACGATGCACACTAGAGCTACACCAGAACCATAAGCAGTATAAAGTTTGAACTATGTTTCAGCTCGACCATTTTGCAGAATCTCTGATGTAGGAATGCAAGAGCTATTTATTAGAGAACATTTTGGGGTGATATTATATGACCAATATTAATATTTATTGCCTTATGACATAGCTCTCTGGTGCTGAACGAATTAAATAACGCCGTCATACTTCATCTTTCGGTAAGCGTTGTAACCGTTGGACGTGAGTAGTGCGATGTTCACAGCGCACAGAGCCTTGGAACCCGCATTCTACATTTTCGAGTATAAGGAATATATGGAGAAAGATTAGTTCGCAGATACATGCATTAGCCTGACGTTGCAGCCATAAGTACTTTAACGATAAACACGATCGCTCAGAGTGAGACGTATGTTCAGTTGTCAGTAGTAGTTCGCTCTAAAACCTATGCTGAAATGTAAGTGCAAAGTCAGCCGATATTGATCGCGTTGCCTACTAGAGATCCGACGAAATATTATACTCGAGAAACCACCATGATAGCACACAGCCTGTCAATAGAAATTATTCGATTTCGAGCATCATAGCGACACACCCTTGAAGCTTAACTAAGACGTCGATCACAATAATACTGGCAAGTGTGGTAGACAAACATCTATGTAGCAGCCTACGAGAATAACACAATACGCCAATATCGTATGATATATCGAAAAAGCACGCGAACTCTTCCACGACATAAATTTCTAAGCGAACATCTACAATATATCAGTTAAATCGCAGCAAGAATCGACACATGTTCAATTCAAATAAAACAATGGAAAAGCTACGCAGCATTGGGAGCGTCGAGCATTACCTGAGGTTGAATGATAGTAGCGTAGTACGACCATACTATTCCAGTGAATGTCAGCGACAAACTCTGATTCAGGTCCAACTTATCAACTGAAGGTTCTCCAGTGACGGCCTGAGTGAGGGGTACGATAGCTAGAGCCCACTTCCACAAAGGTGCACTGTTGGTGACATTGTTGACAAATGCAAAGCCTGGAACTGATTTCTGTGAGATTTATCGTAGAGAGTATGGTGTGAGACATAGCTAGGCGTCAGACTACGCACAAGATGAGGGAGCCGAGTTCAAACGCATAGAGGCTATAGAAACATGACTCATATACAGATATGTACGATTGAAGTCGATACGTATAAGGCTTACTTGTATAGTCGGAATTCGATTGAAACAAATGGACGTTCACAATAAACCATATCGAAAAGAGGCAAAAAGCTGGATGCGCATCGAACACACCATTTTGCTAAGTTTAATATATAGAATAAAATCAAGCGCCTGTTCTAGAAAAAGATTTGTATGGCAAGTATTTTGTATTCTAAGACGAGATTTAACAGGTCAAATATCATTCAGTAGAACAAACAAAAATTTCTTTCAAGGAAAAAATATATATGTTATACTACATATAAAACAGATAACGTATAAAAATCTCGATGTTGTCTTAAAATAGAAATACACACACACTTACACACACACACACATATATATAAATATATAAATATATATGTACACGTACATATATATATATATATATATATATATATGCGTGTGTGTGCATGTGTGTATGATATATATATATACATATATAACAAAATAAAATAAACAACACACACACACACCACACACAC